ACAATGGTTAACAATCTCACAACACATCAACAATATCCTTACTCAACCTTGGGTTCCCTATCACCAGCTTCCTTGTCCCCTTCTGCTTTCTGGTCCTTGTCACTGGACTCCTGTACCTCATTAGTCTCATTTGGTTTTACGGGGCTGTCCACTCCCAGGCTGAACAGTGAACCTCGGAGGTAACTTCACCAGAAACTTGGTTTCTTGACTGTTTTTTGTGGCTCTGTACTCACTAGCAAAAAAACCCAGAAAGGAACATTTCCCTTCTTCCTCACAGCTAGACCTTTGTGTTCTGAGTTCTGGGTCTTTTCTTCAGGAGTGGTTCTCACAAGGAGGCTTCTGAGGAAAATAACGCTGAAGAACCTCAAAGAAGAATGGGTGCAAGTGTTTGTGCTTCCAGGTAAGAGGTGCAGCCCTACTCCTGGGGGGTTGTTAAAAGCAGAGGACTGGATAGAGAGAGGGCTTCCAGGTTCACTGAGGTATACAAATATTTAGGCCTCCAAAGGGGTAGAACCTCATTCGGAGATGATTTCATGGATGCTGGTGAAGGCTCAGGTATCAAGGATCATGGCCTTAGAAGTGTAGGTAATGAGACTAGGGTAGCCCCAAAGGAATGGGGCCAGTAGGGAACCTCCTCACCTCCTTAGGAACACAGTGACCTGGGTAGAATCCCAGCCACCTTAGGTAGACCCATAATACCAAAGAGGTGGTAGAAGACCATCACCCAGGCAGTATTAGGTGACCACACAGGAGAAGGGGCAGAGATGTAAGCACAGACTGAAGGATTTATTTTCAGGATCCCTGGGATTTCTCTAGGACTTCAGAGATAAAGGAGTCCCTGGGTGGCGCAAATGGTTAAGCACTTGACTACTAACCAAAAGGTTGGCAGCTCGAGTCCACCCAGAGGTGCCTTGGAAGAAAGGCCTGGTAATCTACTTCTGAAAGCTCACAGCCTTGAAAATCTTATGGAGCACGGTTCTACTCTGCAACACATGGGATTGCCATTAGTTAAAACTAACCCAATAGTAACTGGTTTCAAAGATTAAAAAGGGTGATCTGGAAAATTACCAATATCATGTTATCTAGTTAGCAAGAACGAAGAGCAAGATTTAT